AGTGCCGGCGTTTCATTCATTGCTCAGTCATCGTTCTCACCAGACTTTGTATCGAGTCTCCAGGCTTACCAGCCCCCTAAACCCTCAAGCTACACCTACAGGAAATAACCATGCCAGTTATCTCCGTCTCTCCGCGTCTGGGCAACAGAACTCTCAGTCACGCTTCAGATCTGCCAACGAACCTGACACTGATCTGCGTGGACAAACTGTCTCCCTGGACTGTGTTCTTCTTTCTTATCATTTCCTCCTTTAAAACTGATATATCGTACCTTCTGTTTTATTCATTGTAATTAAAACAAGACAAAACCACAAAGCATTTGAAAGAAATAAAGCCTCACACCCTTAGTCAATTAAAGACTAATATTTAGTAAAGAACTGAAGGAATTGCAGGTTCCCGCACTTACAAACTGCAACACATTAAACTCTGAGACCTAAAGCAACATTTTCGCTTCTGAGAACTCTGAGTTTCTCTGTGAATGAGAACACCTCCTACGGCATGCGGATGCTCTGGATGTCAAAGATTAAAAACTTAAAGGAGAAAATTTGATTGTCAATCTTTAAACTGTGTCGCTTTGTTCTGGATGATCGGTGGGGTGTGTGAGGGCGACCGTTTCATGTCGCCAGCCTGAAAGAACAAAGGCGGGCTGATCAAAGCCTGGCTGCTTCCTAACAAGCCTGACTGGAGCTCAAATTAGAGAAACTCTCCTTCAAGTGCAGCTCGGCCTGCAGATGTTTGCGTCTGAAGGCTGAAATCATCAGCTTGTCCAGACGGAAGTAAATGGTAAGAAATGGCTACGTCTTTTGAATAAATGCTGAATTCAGATTCAAATAGGTGAATTTTTTTCTTTTTACTGGATGCAGCCACAGACAGAGCACTTCCTCTCAGGATAAAGTGGGAATTTTAAATATATATATATATATATATATGAACTGGTTGTTGGGTAGCAACAGGGAATATGCCTGCCTGTTTTAACATTCGTTTTGGCTATTTAACGTTAATATTCTGGATATTAAAAATATAATATCTCCCTAATTTTAACAAAAATGCGCTACAGAGCTGTAAAACTGACAAACAGCAACATTTTAAACATTTGTCATTTGTAAAAACATTCTTTAAACCACAAAACTGTTTCTAAAAATGTCCTCGTCCACATGAAAACAACATGAAGGACTGAAAGTATTGCAGTAACTATGCCAGGCCTGAAAGTGGCACTCTAGCACGTTGGGTGAGCATGACACAAATAAGACAACTGTCTTAGGTTGTTCTCGTGTGGACGGCAGCCAGGATCTACCCAGGAGGGAGCGCTCTCATGTATACGTTGTGCTTGTATGTGAGAAACGCCACAGTGAGCTCACCTTTGCCCTGGTGAAAGTCCAGCTGCAGGATGGTCTGCAGCAGCGAGTCGGTGTTGAGCGTGAGGTCGAAGTCGGGGCCAACCTTGGGCTCCAGAGCCCCTTTCACCCACTGATCCTGAGACAACGTCACCCGTTTGATGAGAGCATCTGAGATCTACAAACAGAAATGCAAATTTGAAATGTTTCAGGAAGATGAGAGCACACCTCTGAGCCCGCCGGCTTTACAAATGCACATTAGAGCACATTAAAGTCTGAATTAGACCCCCTGCTGAAGTAAATACAAGATGAAAGAAAGCATTACATTAAGCTGCATTCAGCTGCAAAACTAAAGTGACGAGCGTTTCTTCGGAGGCAAAATTATAAGCTGAAGATTTAGAAATGTATCCTCGGGCTTTGAAATGGATCGTGTTGTTTAACGGCATGTTTGATGTTAGATTATTTCAAACTGTTGTGAATTTACATGTTTCTGAGCTTAAATTTGACTCTAATACCAGCTTTGGCTCCTTAAGAGCTCCGGTTAAGAACTCAGACCCTGCAAAGAAAAAGAAGCAGAAATCGATACGTTATAAAATATTTATAAGTAATGGAAGATGGTCTCTAACAGCATCATCCTCTACAGTGTAAGTCAGCTTCTGTTAAATACTACCAGGCAAGCTTTGCATAAAAAATACTAAAAGATGTTTAGATTTGAGTTTGGAATTTTCTGGAGAAATGTCTGATTCTTTTATATGTTCGCTGAGGAAGCTTTGGGTCGGAAATGTTGTCTTTGGGAAGAAACTTTCCTTCTTCTTTGAACCTAAAGTTTTCCTTCTGACTTTGGAAAATATTGCATTTTATATTTCACTGTTCATTAAAATGTGCAAGAAAAGCTGCAGGTGACAAAAAATGTGAATTAATTAGTTATTTTGAGCAAATCAGATCCGCGTTAAAGAAGACAAAGATGATTTCAGGAGTGCATTTTAGTTTCCAGTTGTGTTTTTAGCTGCTCTCACAGTCAACTTCTGATTTAGGAATTTATTTTTCAAAATAAAAGACCCACCAGAATATAAACAAACAAATCAACAAGTAAATTATCAATAATTTCAGCTCAAATGACAGCTCTGATGCTCATCTGCAGAAATCCTTAAATCATCCAGACGGAGCAACAGGATTAGTGCCTTCATCAGTAACCTGCCATGTGCATGTCTACTGCCCCCTGGTGGAGGTGCTACAGGTGGTGAGGCCCAGTTTTATTAATCAATTGCTAGTAAGTTGTCAAATAACTACATAATATTATAAAACTGATATCAACATTAAACTATAAATAGTTTTTAAATTAGAGTTATTATTATTATTTCAAGCTTTAAATGGTTAAATAATAAAGTCAATCTTTGGTTTATTTGTGTCTTCATCCTTGTTTTCAATCGTAATCACTTCACCAGGTAAGAATAACACATTTACAATGTTACCAGACAGCAAAAAATCACCAATTTGACCAATTATTTCACTGGTTTTTCCTTTTAATCCCATATGAGACGTTTCACGCACACTGTTCAGGTGAGATACCTGTAGGAAACCACTGGGGTCGTTCTCCTTCAGGACTTCCAGACAGTACTCCATCATGCCGGTGGTCTGCCGTAGCTTCATGGTGCAGTGGGTGATCTGGTCACGGACCACCTGGACTCACAAATTCAACTACTTAGGTTTTAAGAGTTAAAAGGAAGGAAAGCATTAAACCTGTTATGAATTAATACAAAGAACACCTTTGATCCCAAAAGCACAAAGTCCAGAGCAAACTGCAGCTTCTGACGCTGTTTCTGAATTTTAATCATAAAGATCAGAAGATGCTGCAGACGTCTGCACAAGTTAAGTTTAGAGTTCATTTTAAAAGTCTGTGAAGAAATGCAGATGTTTTGAATCAAGTTATTAAATTGGATAAAAACACAAACAAAAACAATAAATTCTGGTTTCTGTTGTCTCTTTAGTTTAGTCTAGGCCTCCTTTTAATTATTTCCTGAATAAATACTTTTCATTTGTGGTTTAGATCCCACGTTTGAGTTTGACGCCTCTATAGAATTTTCATTGATGTTCGGCAGATGTTTCCAGATGTCCTCCCCCTGGAAACCTGTTCAAGCACGTCCGTGTGTGTGGAAGCGGGTTTAAAGTGGGGATCAGGTGTTTGTAACTGGCCGGAGAAGTCGAGTTAGATGCTGGCAGGATTACGCTTTAATTCCACAAGTGAAGCACAAATAATTCCTGCAACTTCTACAAAATAACAACAGGAATCTGAAGGTTTTCGCATAAACACACAACTCTGAACCTCAGTTATACAACAAATAACTGAACATTTACAATCCTTATTTTGTCTACTCAGAATAAAAGCTACACTTCGCCATTTCTACTAAACTTACATCCAATTTGAAGCAGAAATTTTGAGATGAAACGGAAAACATCTTGGGAATTTGGGACTCAGATGTAATTAATATTGTAAACCGTCAGACGGCTGAACGAACAGAGTTAATTAGACCGGGTCGCTGTGATTAGTCGCCTGGTTTGCTTGATGGTTAATGAGATCAGAGTTAATTATTCACCTGTCAACTCGTTGTGGAGACTGATGAATGAAGACCATGAAGAAAACTGTAAATAATCAATTTAATAATCTATGAAAATGTTTATTCCTGCTTTTTATTTGACCATAAATCTATAATATCTATTAATTTAACCCTTTAACAACTAAAAAAAACTTTATTTTTCATTTTAGCATTTTCGTATTCATTTGTGTCAATAGTCTATAATGAGATGATAGTAATAATTTTATGTTAACAATGCAAGGTAAACATTTATCTTTACACTCAAATATTATAATTTTTTTTAGTTTAAGTTTATTTTGTCAACTTTAGTGCTGCTTTCTAATAAAATACCAAGGCTTTTAAGATATTAACACTAAAATCCTCCCTAAAAGCTGGAACTTGACTCATTAGTTTAATTTAGTTACATTTCTATTTAATTACATTACTAGATTTTAAAATGGATATAAACATCTCAGCTAAGGTTTCTTAACTAAGGTAACTTTATTTATGTAGCACTTTTCACAGATAAATATCACAAAATGCGAGTGAAAATTTAAACATAACCAACATTTGAAAATGATTGACAGATAAATGTTACTTTAAAATGATGTCAGGCTGTGGATTTGTTTAAGCATTTGAAAAGTCTCACTGTTTGCGTAGGAAAACGTGTTTTCACCATAATTATAATTATTATTATTTCAGGTCACGTTGTTGAACAACCCAGCGTAGGAAACACGAGGTGTGACGAGTGGATAAAAATCATATTTATTTAAATTTCCTTCTGCCATCAGCTCCCTCCGAAACGCTCCTGCAGAACTGCTCCAGAGTTTTTCCGACACGTTCCGATACGTTCCACGTGCACGTGAAATGAAACCCAAAGCGAATATTGGAAACCAGACACATTGCCAACGTGACCAGTTCCACTCCAGGGTTTAGGTGGACAACTGAGTTAGTCAGCATCGTCAGAATTTACCACGTTTACCCTAAATCTTTCACTCCGTGAAAAATACAAGGAAAGATGGTCTTTTTTGCAATTTTCACTCATTTTGAACAATGAGGGTTATAATTTACAAATGTAAAAATGTTTATTGTTAACTTTTAATTTGAACATATTCATATTTTCCAGCTAAATTCCATAAATGCGTCTAAACGCAGGGGTGTCGAGCTCCGGTCCTCGAGGGCCAGTATCCTGCATCTTTTTGTTGTTTCCCTGCTCCAACACAGCTCATTCACCCATGCAGCAGCTCATCAGGCTCTCCAGAAGCCTGTTAATCACCTGCTGATTAAATCAGGTGTGTTGGAAAAGGAAAATGACTAAAACATGCGGGATAGCGGCCCTCGAGGACTGAAGTTTGACTCCTGTGGTCGAAAGGATAAAGGGACTTAAAGGTGCAATATGAGAGAACGAAGTAAGTGTGACATCTTGTGGTCAAATTTGGTTACTGCAGGCCATTTTTCTAAAAAGTTACATTCTCACTGCCGTTCCGTGACTTTCACAGCTTTGGCCAGTTACAGATCACCGATCGAAGATTCTAGATGACAAACAAAGATGAGTCATACACAGCATTCCCTACACTTATGGTAATTCAGGTAATATGCTCCCACATTAGAGGAAGTGTGGTTGTTTCTGCCAGCTAGTATTAAATACATTTCAAATGACGGCGCTGCAGCGTTTAGCTTGCCGCAGACTCGGCAACCTCGCAGGCTCACGCATAACAAAGACCACATCCCTCTTTAGTCTTTTGAAAGGGGAAAAACTGACCGCCCGCTTGTCAGCTGAAAATGGAATCTGTTTCAATACAGCCCTCCTTCCAACATGATTGAGACACTCTTCTGATTATTTCACTGTGGAATTACTACAAATTGCTCCTTTAAACATGGTCAGAAAAGAAACTGCTCGACCATTAAAGGGGTGAAAATGAGACATAATGTTTATCAGATCATGCTTTTGGTCTTTGCTTTTTTTCTCACTTTTTATCACAACACAGCTTAAATATGCATTTTGTGTTTCTGCAGCAATGACTTGGCTCTTATTTCTTTCATGATAAATGACCCGCACTTGTATAGCGCCTTTCAGAGTAAGAACTCCAAAGCGCTTTACACTACAGTGTATCATTCATCCATTCACACACACATTCACACACTGATTTGCGTTATTTATCTAATAACAACAAAGTCAGTTGATTTTGCTCAGATTTTTTTCTTTCCTTTTTATTCTGAATAAGAGGTAAATAGCATTTCTACATTTATAGTTTCATGCCTATAAAAACGGGTCAAACTGACAGAAGCAGATGTATCACGCCAGCATTTGTGTGCGTTCTTTGAAAGAGGGAAGTCGTAAATGTGCTGCTTTTAAGGGATTAGGCTTTACAAGCATCTGCTTTTTCCTGTTGAAGGGAATCATTAATACAGTTTTTTCAACTGCATGTCTGCTCAGAGCCGTGGCTACAAAATCAGATTAAAGAGCATCAAACTCATGAGATGACGTTGTTTTCCGTCAATCCGCATTTTTGATGCAAGAACTTACGCCTTTTCTTTCAGTTGCACTTACATAACTCACATCAACAAATATGAACGTCACATTTCAGTGATGCATGATTACAACGGCTGCATCTGTAATAATAGGCTCTGCAAAGAGAAGACACGGGGCTGTAAATGAAAAAAAAAGAAGGCAATTTCATTTTGTGCTTTATTTTGAAGAGCACAGCCCATATTTCCGTAGCACTTCATTTTCCTTTTCTAGTTACTTCCTCTTGTGCCTTTATTTTGAAGAGCATCGCTCAGTTACCACAGCACTTCCTTTCGATGTGCTACTTTTCCCGCTCTGTACTCCGTGAAACGAAACAGACATGGCTTCGGAGATGGTAAAACTTAAGTGAAGCGTTCGTGTAAACCAAGGTACTTTATTCACCAGTATGTTGTAACTTAAGAGTTTATTTGATGTGGTTCAACTCGTTCTGTTTCTTGTTTTTTCTTCCTTGTCTTTGTGTATGCATGTCGCTGTTTGTAACGTGGTGAGACTGAAAGAGACATGTATGGAGGAAGCTGTTAGAAGGTTAAACAAGATTAGCACCCCTTAGAAGCAGAAAGAGGTTGGTCATTTCATATTTTGACAACTGTAAATACATGGTTAAAGGCTGATATATGTAATGTTATAATTTCTTCATTTAATCGAGTTTAAAGGCTAAAATGTAAAACTAATAGCATTTATTGACACATTTTTTGTAGTTTTTACGGGGTCATATGGTCGAAGGTGGAAAGAAGGAGAGAACAAAGTTGCATCAGTTGAAACTCTGCATCTTCAGTCGTAATTCCAAGTTGGGCAGCTACAGGGGTAATGTAATTATTAAATGTGTGTGTACCAGAATTTTTAATCAACGTTATGAAATGTGTTCCGACTCTATTCTGATATGTGGGTCAAAGCAACACAAAGCTACGAGAGCGAAGAGTAACCCAGTCAGAGCAGAGAAATTAAGAATATTAAATATCTGCTTCAGTTTGCAATAAAAAAAACTCTTTCTCTCAACTTTAGCTGTTGCGTTATTCTGGTCCGATTTGCTCTGAGTGTCCCAAAAGTACCGTTATGATGACATAATGATTTTGGACACCCCTCCTTGCAAAGCCACTGTTTTATTGTTTTGTTTTAAAATGCAATTATATTTCCTCCACTTCCTCCTGCGTTTCGGTCCTTCACTCCAAGTGAACGCCTGAGTTGTTCAGAGAAAATAAAGCTCAAACCAGCATGAAGAAATGTGTCAAGGCAGATTTGCACCGAACCAAACGAATCTCTGTAGAAACTCTTTAAATAGAGTCAAAACAAGAGTTTTTAAATACACCGAGTTTGCCTAAAGGTAAAAGTGCCAACTCTGATTTTGTTTTGCCTTCGCTATGAGAGGACTTCGCTGACGTTGAGGTGGAAAATAAAATGTTGGGAAATGTTTTTAAAACGTGACGAATCAATCAGGAAGTCTGCCGTTAATCTAATGGAAGAATAATCCCTAAATCTTAAAATATAAACTAACTCTTTGGTGTTTGTCCCCAGAATAATTGTGCGTGATCACATGGAATGATTTAGTCACTTCTTTACACACATAGAGGTTCGTGCCATCCACCTCCTGGTCTCCTCACGGCCCAAGGCTCTTCGCCATCTAAATAAATCTCAGTTCACAGCCTCCAGAAAAGGGCTGCAGCTGTCCTCGGGGCTTCTGTCCAAACACTCTCCCTTTCCTCATCCCGCCGCTGTTAGCCAGACGGTCAGTCGGTCGGCAGGCACGTTAAGTCTGGGCGTGCGTCCATGTGATACGCTGACACTTAGGAAGTGGGTTTACGGATAAAAGCATTAAATCTCACTATGCTCTGAGACTATTTCTCTCTGTAATCCCAGAAAAGTACACTTGATAAATCTAATTTCACATTAGAAGCTTCACGATCGCGAGCACGCCCACCACAGAGGCTTGGGTTTTCAGTATTTGAAGGCAGAACTGGCCACAGTGGTCTTCCAGGATGCAGATCTTTGTTGTTGGCATGAGGAACGTGGTGAAGGTGCAGGAGGTTCTCAAGGAAACAGCTGGTGACAACACTGAAGCACCGTGATGAAAGATAATCTGAAAAATGTTGATCTGTTCTAATAGGTCACAGTGAGACTGGTGGGGTCTTTATCCAGAGTGACAATAAAAATACTAAATAAATGAGTTTTTACAAAATGCAGTAAAAGAAAAAAGGAAGAAAATGAAGGAATTATGAATTTTAAAGTTGGTTTGTGTTCATGTGAGGAATGAAATCCCGGAGAAGCGTGAATGCTTTCAAAATTAAAAATAAGTTTCATACATTTACTTGCTTTTCAGTTGTTAACAGTAAATAAACAGCTTCATGAGCAAAAGCAGTTAGGCTAAATAATGAAAGGAAATTTTACTTGAATAATCTCGGTCTCCATTCTGGATGTTGACAGAACTGGAACAAAGGTTCATTTGGCTTATTTATCTTGAGTCTGTTTGTTTTACTTGTGATTTTCTTTCTAAAGGTGCTGAATCATTACATTCGCAGTGGTCTCCAGTAATGAATGCTTTGTAAGTCGTTCTCTGGGGGGGGAAAAACTGGTGCACCTTTTCCAGGAACTACAAGTGAGCCATATCACAGCTTAGTTTCAGACGGCTTATTTCCTGATATGTGGACATCTGACCTCTGATTGGAAAACAGCAACGCGGCTCCACCATTGACTCTGTTTGCTCTGCAACACAAGCTCGGAGGAGTTCTGCTGTGTGGTGGAGTTGCTAATGCTAACAGTTGGCTTCTACTGGTCAAGACGTTCTCTGCTGTTTCCTAGGCGCTAAAGAAACAGCAGCCTTCCCCGTCATGAATAAAGATGGGTGAGTCCATGAATGTTAAGAGACAGTGTGACGTAGATCTGTCAGGCTTTTCTAATCCTAGAGTTTCACCGTCTGTTTTCTATCAGAAGCTAATGCAGGAGATAGGTGTAGGAGACTATTTTCATGTTCAGCCTGCATGAAAACTCAGTGTGACTCATTGTAATCAGAAACAATAATTAAAAATTGTTTTTTCAGTGTTTCACAAATTTTATAAACACATCCTCAGAATTAAAATGACCTTTAATACAAGTTAAACACAATCCGTAATGCTCCATTCAAACTAGTGAACAGGAATGTCTCACCTTCAGTTTGTATTCCTTCTCCTTGGTGACCTTTGTGAGCATTTTGGCCTTTTGTCTCGTCAGCGCCTCGATCAGAGAGTCACACTGTGCCACAAGGCAAGCTTCAAACTCCACGCCGCTTTCCTGCAGTTAAATAGTCACAAATAAAAAAAATGCAACTAAACGACTGCATTTCTGCGTGTTTGAGTGACGAGGAAACATGGAGACTAAAATAGATCTGTGAGTGAATTTAAATTCATTCACCAGCTCAGAGATGCTTTTATTTTGTAGCTAGGATGTACATTTATTCACCACATTTTGTTCTACTTTTTCACCTCAGCTGCACAAACATGAGGATACGGCGCTAATTACTTCAGGAGGTTGCACACACAAGCCAACCATTCATAATATTTTCTTTTTCTAGCTGTTAGAACAGCTGTCGTACCCCCACACACACGGTCTTAAAATAAAACATAAAAATTCTGTCAGCTGCAGTTGAGCTTCTGAGCTTTGATTCACAAACATGTCCTGACTGAGAACGGACTTCTCTTTGGGTCTGGGGCGTCAGGGTCATGGAAAACCCAACAGGAAGAGTAGAGCAGCAGATAAGCCTCAAGAAATTCCTTCTGGGTTTAATTTGCACCCTAAGAAATCAGCTGCATCCCTACAGGACATGCAGACTAGAAAGGCAGCCCACTTTCTGCAAGAAAAGCATGGATTTCAAACTCCTTAAAGGAAATCATGATGTCTGTTTGTTACAGTTTTTTTCGATTGCTAAAAGTCAAAAAGCAAAAATGAGGCACAATTTTCACAACCTCTACTTCTGTTCCCAATCGCTTGACTCAATTTATCACTACTTAAGATTTCCTTGTCATATTAGAACTCTGATTTCAATCAATTTTTTTTATTATTTTATTTTTTATTTATTTATTTATCTCAAACCATCGAAAACATGAAATTGCATATGCACTCCCCCATATTCCTGGTGCATACAAAAAAAATTTTTTTTTTTTAAATGAGGAATACGATAAACATATGCTGTTGAATGAAACAATACAAAACATACAATAACATAAAACCATTTGAGAGGGAACTGGAAGAAGCAAAAGCTTATCTAGTCCAACCCCAATTCAGTTAATAAATCACATTTGCTCACATTAACAAATTTGAAAGAAAAAAACTTTTCTTTATGCAGGTCGTTCTATCTTCACCTTGCTAGTTGCTACATAAAAAGACAGTTACAAAACAATTGTTCACATGAATCTACAGAAAAAGAAAACAAAACCAATAAACAACAAAAACAAAATATTCCATTTGAAGCCAATTACCATTTTTATCACTTGCTATTTATGTATGAGTCAATTATAAGTTGTTTATACAACATTTTAAATGATCTAATGTTTTTACATAATTTTAAAGTCACATCAAGTTTGTTCCACAGTTTGATACCACATACAGATACACACATACTTTTCATAGTTGTTCGGTATAATGGAAAAATGAAGTTTTTAACGCCTCTCAATTCATAACCCTCTTCATGAGTTTTAAACATCCTTTGCAAATTACACGGCAGTACACCCATCATGGCCCTATACGGTACAAGGACAGTTTTAAATTGAATTGAGTCAAAAAATTTGAGTAATCTGGAATTATAGAATAATGGAGTTGTATGATCTCTATATCCAGAATTTATAATTATCCTTACCACTCTTTTTTGGAGAACACAAATCTTTAATAAATTAGATTTATAAGTATTGCCCCATACTTCGACACAATATGATAAGTATGGTAGAATCATAGTACAATAAAGTGTGTGTAGTGCTTTCTGTGGTAGAGAATATCTTGTTTTATTTATTATCCCAATGCTTCTGGCTAATTTAGAACACACATATTGTATGTATGGCTTCCAAAAGAGCTTATGATCAATCAATATCCCCAAAAACTTAATTTCATACACTCTTTCAATGGCTATTTCATTAACAGTCAAATAGATTTCTTTACTACTTCTTTTATTTCCAAATAACATAAACTTTGTTTTGCTGACATTTAACGACAGTTTGTTTTTATCAAACCAATTCTAAAGCTCACTCAATTCATTCTGGACCTTTAGTATAAGTTGCTGTATATCTTCTGCTGAACACAAAATATTTGTATCATCAGCAAACATAATAAATTTAAATAATTTTGAAGTTGTGTAAATATCATTTATATATAACAGAAATAACTTTGGGCCAATCAAAGCTTTATTTATAAAGCGCCTTCCGCAACCCTATCGGGAAGCCCAAGGCGCTGAACATGGTACAAGAGAAAGTTAAATATGGTGAATAAATCGAAAATAAAAGCAATTCAAATTACAAATTACAAAAAATGTAATGTGAGGAAAACGCTGCTCAGTGTTTGCATGTTTTATTGGCAACACCTGGAGTTTTGTATAAGAAAAAAAACATGAAACCAATATTATTTATTACATAAAACGTGATAGGAAAATTTGTGCCATACCGCACAGACCTTTCTGAGTATTTGATGGATAATAAGCTGTCTTTTTCCCATCATATCAATAGATTGCAGTCAAATAATAAAAAAAACTGTTTCTTATCTAAAATGTGCTAGTCCTATGCTCTGCTAATCTGGTGACCATTCTTCCCATCTGCAACTACTTTCAACACTCACTGACATTTTTATTGTCAAATTAAAAGAAAAACCAGGACTCAAGACCAACTATTTAGCTTGTATGTTAAATCTGACAAGTAAACCGTACAAAATGAAACAGGTCACATTATCATTATGTAACCCACAGCTGCATCAAAGGGTTCAGTATCCGTGTATTTTACAGTGTGGGTGGGTGTTATTACCTGTATCTGCTGCAACATGTTCTTCAGCTGAACCAGAAACTCCTTAGCTTCTTTGGCTTTGTCCGAGACGCCATTTAGAGCCTGTGAGAGCTGGCACTGCAGAGAAAAAGGCAAAACATCAAGTAAAATATGCCAAAGACAACAAAATATTCATGTGAATAAAATATTAAATAAAAAGAAAAATGTGTGTTAAATTCATAAAAATATGTCGATATTGACTCAAAACAAATAAACAGCTTTTATTCAAACTAACTCCATTTAAAAACATCATAATAATCTATAATAAGGCTGAATTAAAGCTGGTCTGATTCTGAGATAAACCAGTGATGCTCGGAGGCTTTTTCTAAGATATTGTTTATGTAATCTGGCTGTTCTCCATGGAGGCTCAGATTACTACTAATCCTGGCCTAAAGCAAATTCTCCAGGAACTCCTTCCAAAAGCTCAACTCTGTTGTGTGTCTAAATAAAATGAATTACCCACACCACGTCCATCAGATCATTATCATCACAGATGAAAATCCATGAAAAGACTGAAAGTCTGTTTCAAATTTTCCTTTAGGGTAGCAAAAATAAAGGAATGATGACTAATTAAATTATACAGAATCTCACTAATTGATTGCAAAAAGCTTCATATTTATCACACTCGTTACCAGTGAGAACGAAAAACACGGGCTAATCATCACACTTGAATCTTTACTGCGAGTCCTGCTGCTTTTGGTCAGTTAATTTGAAGGAAGAATCCTACCTGAAAGTGACGTGAATCATGGCGGACTGAAAAAGTGGCTAGCAAAACCGCTAATAGCAGCTAAAATCTGGTTTTTATAACAACTTCCTGAAAAAACAATTTACCAAGTCATTAGAAAGATACGTCGCATGTTTTAAATGTCTACTCAGGCTGTTTAGATTAGGCTGTTTGCATGGATGTAATTTTCACTTTAGAAGTGGGGGGGACACGGGGGGGCGGGGTCCCCTCCTGTCCCCCCCCCGTCCCCCCCCCCAACATTGCGTCCATGGCTGTTTGTTTAAAAGAACATCAGAATTACAAAGCTAATTGCTAAATATGTACCGCTGCTTCATCATTGCTGTATCACTCCGCCTGATCTGCCGCGCAGCGCACAGACGGCGGAGTGATTCAGAAAACGTTACACGTACAGCAAAATTATAAAGGTTTAAAAAACAAAATATATGTATTTATTACTGTATAGCGCATCCATATGGTTTTTGTGAGCAAGGGTTAGTTTAAACATAAGAAGTTAACCATTAGTTAATTAGTGATGCTGCTAGCTAGTCAGCTGACTTTTTTCTGTTTTTTAAGACCCATCCCACTTTATGGGATACACGTGCACGTGAGGTCCTTACTGTATACCTGATAAATATTTCACAGACTTTACCTTAAAATTAAAAATATATATATTTCTGTTTAAATATACTTCACCAGCCATTTGTGAAAGACAATTAATGCAACTTATTTCACAGCAGTTCTCAACTTAAAAATGGTCTGTGATTTGTTTCAGTGTTTTTCCGATACACTAAATGCTGTTTTATTGTGTCTGTTTTACTGTCTCCAAATAAAACGGTTTCAAAGTAAAAGTCATTTTAAAAATAGCAAAGTAGACAAAAAGTGATCCAACTGAGAACCTGCTGACAAAACATACAGCACAGAGTGGTATTGATTAAACTGAAGGGCATCAGGGGGCCGTTTGTCAGATCCATAAAAACACAACTTCTATCACATAATTCAATTCAGTTCAATAATACTTTATTAATCCCAGAGGGAAATTAGAGTTTCAGTACACACATTTCTGAGATCAGACATACATACATAGACACATGACAAGAATTGGAGACTGTGGTCATTCGCAACCCGAGTCTCGCTACCGTAATTTGTTTATGTTTATGTATTTAGCAGACGCTTTTGTCCAAAGCGACTTTCAAGTGATAATCGGCATGTTGCCCTTGAGGCTAACAACAACAATAACAACAAATTGACATCAATCATGGAGAGGAGGGAACAAAGGAGTGGACGGTAGAGGGGGAGACGGGAGCAGGGAGGGTGCTAGTTTAGAAGATGCTCTCTGAAGAGCAGGGTCTTCAGGAGTTTCTTGAAAATTGAAAAGGAAGCCCCTGTTCTGGTAGTGCTTGGAAGGTCATTCCACATTTGTGGAACGATGCATGAGAAGAAGTCTGGATTGTCCTGAGCGTGGTGTAGGCACTGCTAGCCAACGATCCTGTGATGACCGGAGCGGCCGGGCCGAGACGTAAGCCTTTGCAAGAGGATTCAGGTAGATGGGAGGCGTACCATCTCGGACTTTGTGTGCTAGTGTTAGCAATTTGAATTTGATGCGTGCAGCTAGCGGTAGCCAGTGGAGCTCAATGAACAGAGGGGTGACATGTGCTCTTTTTGGCTGATTGAAGACCAGATGCGCTGCTGCGTTCTGGACCATTAGAAGAGGTCTCACAGTGCAGCCTGGAAGACCAGTTAGAAGGGCATTGCAGTAATTGAGGGGGGAGATTACAGTAGATTGCACCAGGAGCTGGGTGGCATGTTGCGTTAGGTATGGTCTGATCTTTCGTATGTTATACAGCGCAAAGCAGCATGAACGAGCAACAGAGGTAACATGATCTTTAAAGGTCAGGTGTTCATCAGTCACAACACCCAGATTTCGAACTGCCTTTGTCATTTCTTCCTGGCACTTGCAGAGTACAGACGCTTCTCTTTTTGCTCCCTTATCTTTTTTCCCAAGGCTCTTTGTCCTGTCTGCCCACAGAGCGCTTCTCTGCATTTCTTCTGAAAAACCCTATTTTTAACCATGGATTTGATAAATTGGTCATTCAGGAGTCAATGTGCTCTGCGCTTCTCCCAAGATCTCCCTCCCACCTGTGGCTACAGTGGCTGAGCGCCGTAGATGGCTGCTCTCGCTGGGGGAAACAGGATCCTTTGAAGGAGCCAGAGATAGGAAGTCATTTTGGATTGAGATATTGTGCTGTATGGATGGTTTTGCTGGGATGACAAGTAGTTCAGTTTTAGAGAGGTTGAGTTGGAGATGGTGGGATTTCATCCATTTTGATATGTCAGAGAGACAGTTTAATATTTGTGCAGAGACAGTGTGGTCGTCTGGTGGAAATGACAGATAGAGCTGAGTGTCGTCTGAATAGCAGTGGTAGGAGAAGCCATGTGATCGAATGATCTCACCCAGTGAGGTGGTGTATGTGGCAAAGAGAAGAGGTCTTAGTACAGAGCCCTGGGGGACTCCTGTGGCAAGATGGTGCACGGTAGAGGATTGTCCAAGCCAAGATACATAGATCAATAGGGTTTATATGAGGATAGAGTCAGGGGGAGGGGAAAAAAAGGCTCTTCAGAGTTACCCTCACCAGAGAGGGTAGCTTTGCTATGCAAAAACACACCTCAGACAGATATGCTCACGTTTGAGACAGGAACATAATTACATGAACATAAACCACACATGAAAATTTGTCAAATATGATTAAGTGTATTTAACCCTTTAAGACCTAATACATCAAATAATAATGAGAATATAATGTTTTTTTATAATTTAACTAATTACTGACTATTATCAATCTAGAATTACAGAATAATTACATTTTATTATGATAGAAAAATACAATAATAATATGAGTTTTGGCTGAAACTACAACATCAGCATTTAATCAATTATTGTTTGGATAATCTTGAAAAAACTGCTTAAAACAAAAGAAAACAAGTAATACATGCATTAGGAGTCAGGTGTAAAGAGGTTTAGTGTCTGTGTGTGTGTGAGCGTGTTTGAGTGTGTGTATATGCTCATCCATCACTGGTAGATTAAAAAGGACAGGACAAAGGAGACACACACTGTTGCACACATGGCAGGCTGTAATGAATCAGCTCCACCTGCTTCCTGCTTTCCCTGGACCACACATGAGAGAGAGAGAGATTCACCAGACAGATATGAGGAGGGGAACGTTCTGTAAATCGGTTTTCATCACAAGGAGCAAAGATTATGACACATCATTGATAACTTTGGCCTGATATTTTGCTGCTGAAACAACAATAGTCATCTGAGACTTCATTTACTTTTGTTTTTGTAGTTTTTGTTAAGAATGCACACATCGTTTGTGTTCTGAAGGCTCATCTAGATTTATATGAAACATCCCAAAATATAAGCTATTAAAGGTGTAGTTCACTTATTACATTTGTAGTGGTCTCTAGTAGGAATGAATGCCTTGTAAGTTGTACTCAAGGGGGAACAATATATCAGTGCACCATTTCCAGGAACTAGCAGTCACAGCTGAGTTTCAAACCACAGGTTTTGGAGTCTTATTTGGACATCTCTCCTCTGATTGGATGACAGCAACATGACTCTATCACAGACTTGCAACACTGATGTTTTATCTCCACAAATAACTCAAGTCTGGAGGAGCTTCTGCCATGTGGTGAAGTTGCTAATGCTAACGGTTAGCTTCTACAAGCCACGACGTTTGCTTCTGTTTCCTGGGCGCTAAACCAACAACAGCCTTCCCCATCGTGGGTCTAGTTGGGTGAGTCCATGAATGTTTAGTGATGGTGTGATATCACACCGTCAGGCTTTTCTAATCCTAGAGTTTCACTGTCTATTTTCTATCAGAAGCTAATGCAGGAGATAGGTGTAGGACAGTGACCCATTCTAATCATAAATAATCATTAAAAAATTGGTTTTCAGTGCTCCATACCTTTGAACTGAATTCAGAGAAAATTTTGCTTTTTTTGCTTTTTTGGTGTATAAAGGTCTCAGAAGAGAATTTAAAAATGACTAAATTGCAGATATGTTAGACTACGACTTCAGGTCTTACTCTTTCTTTTCAAGTAAAAGCTATTCAATTGGTGAAATTCTGTTTAAAATGCAACATTTAGCTGTTTGGGAGTCAATGCATCATTACAAAAGAGAAATTAGGCCCAGACATTAATCGTTCTTTCTTATAAACAGGAAAACAATGAAATTTTACACAAGATCTATTGATAAAATGCTGTCTTTTTGCAGGCTTTAGTCACAGCCTAGAGGAAATCCTGGTCTGGATAAAGACAACACTTCAGCCATCATCATGTACATGTGTGATTTATC